CATAAGTATATCAGTATTATCATGGATATGTATGAGGCTTCTGCTACGAGTGTCCGCACTAGTGTAGGGAGGACTGCAGAGTTCCCTATTACAATAGGAGTGCATTAAGGATCGGCTCTGAGTCCTTTCTTATTTGCTATAGTCATGGATGAACTTACGATGTCAATTCAAGAAGATATACCGTGATGCATGATGTTTGCCGACGATATTGTATTGATTGATGAGATACAATCGGGTGTTAAAACAAAGTTAGAAGTATGGGGACAAACTTTGGAGACCAAGGGTTTCGAACTAAGTCGAAGCAAGACTAAGTATATGGAGTGCAAGTCTGGTGGAGGTAGAAGTAGTAGCAACAGTGGGATTACTCTTGATGGTAAGGAGATACCGGTGTGTGATATGTTTTGTTGCTTGTGCTCCATAATTCAGAAGGATGGTGGATTAGATGGAGATGTATCCCATAGAATTGGAATTAGAGTTGGATGGATGAAATGGAATAGTGCATCAGGATTTCTATGCGATCGAGGAATGCCGACTAGTCTAAAAGGTTTTTTTTAACTTGGTAGGCAAACCACCGGATTTTATTAAAATGAGAAAGGATACAAAAGAGGGGGACTAGACCAAAACCTCTACACTAAAAGGTAAATTTTATCAAACAGCAATTAGGCCTGCATTAATGTATGACATAGAGTGTTGAGCGGTGAAACAATGTCACATTCAAAAGATGAGTGTGACAGAGATGCATATGTTGCGTTGGATGTGTGGACATACCAGAAAAGATCGCTTGAGGAATGAAATAATTAGGCAAAAGGTGGGAGTAGCACCTATAGAAGATAAGATGCAAGAGACGTCTCGTTTGTGGTAGTTTGGGCATGTGCGTAGAAGACCGAGTGATGCACCTATTAGACGACTTGAGGGGTGGGGAGACGAGACAAAGAGGAGAGGGAGGGGAAGACCCAAATAGACTTGGATTAGAGGAACAAGAACTAATATGCGTCTTCTTGGGTTGGATGAGAGTATGGTTTTGGAGAGGGCAAAGTGGAGGGCACACATTCGTGTGGACGATTGATCTTTTTTCTTTTTCTTTCTCTTTTTCTTTTGTTTTCTTTTCTTTTCTTTTATCATTTATCTTCATTGTTTTTATGCTCTTATGTTATGTTTATCTTCTCCCTTTCTTGTGTTCTTTTATCTTTTAATCTTTTATCTTTCTTATATTCTTATGTTATTCTTATCTTATATTATATTTACTTATCTTTATCATATTCGTTTTATCCTTTTTTTTATTTCTTCTTGCCTGTCTTTTCCTTGACATTGATATCATGGATCGATTCATGTTAGCCGACCCCAAAATCTTTTGAGATTAAGGCTTGAATGTTGTTGTTGTAGTTATTATGTACGAAATTTAAAGATATTTGAATAAATTTAAATAATTTGAATAAGATTTTGTATTAGATAGTTTTTTCCCTTATAATTATTGAATATAAAGGCTTTAATTATACTATTTGACTATAGTATAAGTAAATATTATATTACTTCCTCAGTCCCAATTTGTAAGATACATCTACTATTCACTAGGTCAACATAAATCTCTATTAATCTTTTACTTTATACGTAGTATATCAAAAGTTTATGAACTTTGAATTGTTTTTTGCAGGCTTTGTAGCGGTTTTAATGTAGTTTCTGAATATGTAAATTTTATTTTCTAAAACTAATTTGAGTGTTGACAAGAATCAATTTGTTTTATCGTCAGTCCAACATCGTAATATCATATAAATTGGGACGAAAGGATTATATATCTAATAAATATGTGGAGTGTTCCCTGACTATCGCCTCAAAACCTTCGTGATCTAGACCTCCACCAGCTTTAGAAAAGAGCAAATATTGGTGACAATGAAATCATTCTTCAAGAGAGATTATAATAATATAATTGTAAGCTATTGTTGCTCAATAAAGAGGTTTTCTTTTAAAACTCTTTAATGATACTAGACACATAAATATTTTTGTGTCATTGTACTTTTATATATTAGTTGAACGTTTTTCATCTAATATGTACATAAAGTGAAAATATTAATAAGTAGTCCAAAACCAAAGTAATAATAAATCATATGCCCATCATTTTTTAAAAACCCACTCACTTCTCAACAAAATTTTAGGAAATAATTTTTTTTTTTCAATTTAAAAAATGTTATTAACAAATTCTGAAAATAATTCCATCACAGTCCATTAAATTTTGAACATTAGGGAATGCCCTGGATACTACACTAATTTTGGAGAAAATTTACTCATATTACGGGCGTGATAAAAGTTTATCGCGGTAAAACATATGTGACAAAAGTGTGTCACGGATTTGACACAGACATTATCCCTTACATACGGCCACCAGAGACGCACCTTGCTAGTTTTTGTCGCGGAATATATCATTGACAAAGTTTGTCATGGATTTTATCCCTGACAAGACCGATCACATTGACATTTTAAAAAATATACATATTCAATTTGTAATGGATCGAATCTATGACAATGGCGTGACAATAGGTCAGTGCGAAGATTTAAACAATGAGTTTTTCCCGGAGGAGGTTACTTTTCAAACTTATTTCTCAATTAATGATACTTTTAAACTTATGTCCCGTTTGTCTATGTCATCCTAATATCACTAAGAGCATCTTTAATGCGGATTGCTTAGGCCACCTCATAACAATAGACGATGTGCGGTTATTGTGGACTTCAATACATGTAGTGTTTAATTTCATTTTGCTGAGTTGGCCATAATTTGTTGGACACTGTGAAGGAGACTTTGTGAGTATAGAAAACCTTTTACACGTGCTAACTCATAACATTCTAGTAACATATGAAAGCCATTAAAACAGATATAATGTAGTTTACATTTATTTTAAGGTGATAATTTCGGTACTCATTTAAAAAATGTTGTATTGTACCTGTCATTCATTTGGTTGGTCCAAATCATTATATCATTTTTAATTTATAATTAAATAATTCAACTGCAACATTCTGATTGGTCATTGTATGATGCATCTTTACGTTATTTGTATTGCATATTGAAGTTCAAAGTGTTGCATATTATTCAGCCATAAAATACTAGTTTCATATTAATATTCAAAGAGTTGCACCCTAAAAAATTTGGAATTTATTACAAAAATGAGAATGTGTCTTTATAGCCTTTTGATCAACTCATCGGATCACCAAGATGAGTTTCTAAATTAAGTAAGGTTTGTATTTGATCTCTCTATTATACATATGTGTGTGTACGTGTGTGTATCAAGGGGAATTACCCTAAATAGGAGTAATTAGATTTATGGATTCCAAAATCGGACTATGATAGGGTGAATTTCCTATTATGTATGTTTGTAATTTTTTACTAGTTTTATTAGTTCTGGTTGTGGAAATTACACACTTTTGGTGTAATACTTTATTTTCATTAATTATTTGTAATAAATTTAGATTAGGATTATTTTGAGCTTAGGACAGGTCAAAATCATCCCAAGAATCAAATGATGGATCCTAAAGACCAAAGAATGTGCAAAAAGGAGTAGATCAAATGAAGGTTTTGAAATTAGTTCAATACTCGGTTGAGTATTGCCAATACTCGGTCGAGTATTGGCCAGATACGCTGGTCAAAATCAAATTTGGGAGCAAAAGAACGTGGCTGAATATTTGATGAAAATCTTGTCTCATACTCGGTCGAGTATTGGCAATACTCGGTCGAGTATGCCTATTTTTCACAATTTCCTGGAAATTTCCTCTCATACTCGGTCCAGTATCCCATATACTGGATCGAGTACAAAACCTTGTCACCTCCATTTTGCTATAAATACACCTCATTTCTTTCACATTAAAATCACCAATTCACATATACTTCTAAGCTCAATTTAGACAAGTATTTCCTTTATATTTTCTAGTATGTTTAGTCTCCAAATGAGGAGCTAAACCCTTCCATCTTGGTTTTGCTACTTTGAAGCTTAATGAATTGTAAGTTGTGAGTTATTCTCTTTAATCTTCTTTTTTGAATATTAATTAATTCCTATTCCTATTTCATATTAATATTTTGAGCATTACTTAAAGGATCAACTAGTTTTGTTTCATATACCAGTATTAATTATTCCTAGAATCGATCGATTAATACGCTTGTTATTAATTCGGTCTTTTCACGGTAGTAAACTTGGGTTGTTAATGCATGCGTCTCATGGTTAATAACCGAAGGGGAATTAATTATATTGATTAAACCGATAAACCGCTTGTGTTGAAGTTATCAATCTCAATCATTTTCATCTTGATTTTATTGCTATTATCGGATTAATATATGGTGCGTGTTCTATATTAACTCGGTAGTATGTTTTATTAATGAACGCGCCTCGTTATTAATAACTACCCTCGATGAATTGGATATACTCCTCGATTGAGTATTCGAGAGGAAGATAGTTAAAGATATAACCGGGATCGACGAACATTTCATTAAGTGGATAAAAGCAAAGCAAAGTCTTCTCATCATTTATTAAACCACATAAGTCATTCATCTTAGTGTTTAAATCCATTTAAGTTCATCAAAAAAAATCTAAAACCCCCCTTTGTTACTTGTTACTATTTATTTGAAAAGAAAAGTATTTCTTTCTCTGTGGATACGAACCTTACCAAGCTAATACTATGTATAAGTGTTGTATTGATTTATTATTTTGACGCACATCACGACAAAGTGCACGTCAGACTACTATGTTTTTCTTCGCGATCGTGAAATATAAGTCTTTACTACCATGATTGAAAAATATTGGTGATAAAGTATATGGTCCTAGACCCCGTGGCCCACACACTCATATAAGACAAACAAAACAAATAATGATGCACCCCTCGGTTGGTCCCCTCGGCCAGATAAGTCTAGTTCATCCATACCAAATTTTAGCAAAAAAAATCAATCGGGAAGGTTGTCAAATGATTTTTGCAAGTTAACTGGTCCGGAAAATACATATTTGGAAATATTTGGAAGGAGCGACAGGTGAGGTCATTTGAAATACTGTATGTTTTTGTTTCAAAGTCATGGTGTTGTGTATGTTATGGAGTATTATTTGTTGGGAAGGAAAGATTCAAAATGACGCAAAACCTACAGAATCGAAAAGATTCACGGCGTAGCTTGCTAGAATGTCGATCGTGAGAAGCCTCCAAACACAAAATCTCCGCTTCCGACACGAGTGGAGAGAGAGTGCAGAAACATTATCAGTAATCTCAACATCTTTATTTGGGTTCACAAAGGTAAACAAAGAAGCATGACACGTGTAATGAGTTCGCAAGGAATGATGGAACCGCCGGCCACGCCACCTTTATGGTGAAATTAATTAAAGAGATCATATAAAATAAAAAAACTATAAGCCCCAATGAAGGTAAGGATATTTTAGGTATTGAAAATTTGTTGGTGTAACATCATAGCTTAGTGAACATGTACCATAAGCTTGACTCAGTGCACTCTCTCTTCAGTTTTGCTCTGTCAAATAACGTCCATCCACGGTACCCGTTAGTAAAAGCGCAAAACCTCTAACAGTCTCACTCAAACCTCAATGTCTCAATCCACTCTAGCTTCTCCTTTTCTGTTCCACGGCGTGCCACTTAATTGACCATAATATTAGATTAGCTGCTGAGAATCCACTTCGTCTGCGAGAAGATTATCGCCAACTCTTCTCACCTCCCTTGTTCCCTTTCATCTTCTTTGTATCGTGTAAGTTGCGGTACTCGTTTTTTTAATGATAATGACGCTTGCATTGATAACGAGTTGCAACCTTCAGTTCTTTTTCATCTCATGTGCAACGCAATTTGTGGCAATTGAAGAGGCTCGACCATCAATCGCCCATCTATTTCCGTACAAACCTGTGTTCATCTCGTGGCAGAGGTTCTCTTTTGCTGCTCAGTACCCGTTTCTTGGTAACACTTTTCTCATACCATCTGTTTTTTTACCGTGTTTTTCTAAAGGAAAATAATTTTGTTTCCTGCTTTTATTCTTTCGTTTTTACAAAGAAAATATTATTCAAAGTATGTGCTAATATTAAGTGTTGTATGCTCGGAGTTAATGGAAAAAGGTATGTGTTGACATTCGATATCTTCATTAACATTATAAAAAAATCTTGCTCAATTAGTTCTAACAAGTATTTTTTTGAAAACAAAATCTAAGAAACAACATATATTGAACTAGGATCAAAACGAATGGACTTTGGTGATCCTTTTTAACTCAAGTAAGGGCTTGTTTGCAATCAATTAAAAAAAGTGATTTTGGCTTTTTTTTTTAAAAGAAAAAAGCATTTATTTTACCAAACACTATCAACTTTTACTTCCTCGGTTTTCGTGTAGAATCTACTTTTTACTGTTTCTATTACACAAAAAGCACTTATTTTACCAAACGCTACCAACTTTTACTACTAATCACTTTTTCCCAAAAAGTACTTTTATTTAAGCACAAGTGGTTGCAAACAGAGCCTAAAAGACACAGAGTTGATAAAATTAGAGGATCACCCTATAATGTCCTAAAGTGGTTAATTAGAGGACCTCTTAATAAAATATCCTCTAGTGATCCTCAACTTTGAAAATTAGTTGTGAGGTAAAACTATATGGTAAAATTAGATATACCCTTAAGGAGGTTAAATTTACCTCTTGAGGAAGTAGATAAATGAATCTGCCTTCTTACAATATTATCTCTTGATGACGTAGATAATTATACTTCAAGTGATCCCCAACTTTGAGAGATCGACATTTGGTATAGTTATAAGGTAAAATTACATGTCCCCTTGAGGAGTCAACTTGAGCACGGTAAATTTATCACATGTGGACGGGAAAGTGGAAACCATTTAACTTATGGTTTTATCCCTATTAGGCTCTTATGAGCCACTTATGTCATGTTTTTCTTTTACTTCTAGAAAATTCAAGGATACAAATCTTTTAAGTTTCATACAAGCCTCTAGCATTTGCATCATTTGTAGAAACATCAAATGCATTTTTGTAATCCACGTGCATATATTTAGTCTTTATAATAGCTTCAAAATGATACCACATACATCTTGCTCCAGGCCTGTAACTCTCTGTTTAAACTTCTAATTGTCACATATGGGCCTTGCCTGAATCTCACTACCAGCCCATTACGAGCTTGTCCAATGGTTCGAACAGATTTCAAATAGAACAAGTCTAAACCTACCAATGGAAATGACATTGAAGCTAAAAATAGAATTAAATGCAAATACTGTATGCGATTTTTAAAAAAGACTAAAAAGGGTGAATTGAGTTGATAAGGAAACTCAAGAGTTATTAGATACTCTTACTTTTAGATACTCCTACTGTTGGTCTCACATTTTTAATGATATTATTAATTTATTATTTTAGATATTTTTGTTTTATTTGAAGTTGTTTGCTTACAACCGTGATTACTTAATCACTTGTTGTTGCTTTATAACCGCTAATGAAAGGTATGATACAGTTGAAGAAACGGCCGATATATAATTTAGGTTGTTGGGTATATAAGATTTGATAAATATATAAGTTTCTATGTATTATGCCCAACAGCAAGAACTCTAATGTCAGAAGATGTATATAGTTTGTGGGGTGCCGGGGTCGTTGCTTTCTCTGTTCAAGAAGCCTTAGCCTACAAGTTATCCAAGTATCCAACTTATCTTGTGAATATCAAGCATTTTGAGTATTGATTTCTCTTGTGTTTATGGTTATTATTGTATCATATCCTTAATCCCTTAGCTAATTAGGCTATCTTTTGTCTTTGGCATTCTTGATGATTGGGAGTGCTTCCTTCCCTATCTCGATGTAAAAAGGAAAATACCAGTAGCATGTGTGCCATAATTCCAATGAATTATCAAGTAGTGAGTGTACACTTTAATTGTTTCAGAGTTTTCTTACAATATGTACTCTAAAAAACAATTATTACATGATACTCTAGGTCTCGTGATGATATCTTCTTCTGCTCTACTTTGTTCTCCATTTACATACTTCTTTTTTAGTTTTTTACTATTATGGTTACTAAATGTTGATCGTTTGCCTCTGAATAACATGCGTGTTTTTTTGTTTGAAAAAAAAACATGCGTGTTTTTTTGTTTGAAAAATGGTTAGTAGGAGAGTGGTCGGCTAAATTAACATAAGGCTAGCTATTTTCATCCTATATTTCGACTGTATGAACTGCTTAAATTACCATTTATTTAAATGGAATGAATTTCAATACTTCGAATAAGTAGTTTTACTCTCTGATTCTTACCCTTTCTTTTTTATAAATATAGCCTCAAGCTGTGTGTAATTTCTCTGGTTTCCCACACTTGGTTTTTGGATAAATACAACTTAAGAAGGTATGTTATTTTATCTCATTTTTTGCTTTTAGTTTTGACCTTTTTTCCCAGGTCATAACCTTTCACATGGAAGGTAACAAGTTATGTGTCAACAATTTATACATGTGAACAACATCGGTTGTACGAATAGGTCAAAAGAGTTTACACTTATATTACCATTCATTACACTTATACGCAGTATTAGATTTATAAATGTGCATCAAATTAGAAAAAAAAATCCTCGAATTAAGCTCAAATCATACTCAAACCGGATCATATTAGAATATGCAATTTTAATGTGCATCAAATTAGATTTTACACTAATATTACCATTTATTTAAATGAATGAGCTTATTTTCTGCTATGTGGAGTTAGATTTGAATAGCATGCCCTATAATAGTGTATTTCATATAAAATTTTGATATTGAGCATTTACACAATCGCGCAACGCGCGTAAGAAAACTAGTTCATATATAATGTGCATATCATGTATGTGTCCACACTAGCAAATTAACGTGCAGTGAGTCGGCCCAGTTGATAGATATGCTTCATCCAAAGTTGTACGTTGCAAACCCTATGGAGTAGTTTTTCAATGGATATTTCTGTAATGCACAAATTACTAGGTGATAGACTGATAGCGTTACCCTATGTCCGTATGAGCTATTGCACTTCAAAAATACTCTTGGCACACACTCTTTGGTGTACATACTTTCACACGTTGTTTGTGTACACATTTTATCAAAATACGTTTTGTCTGTACAGATAAAAAAAGTCTGATGGATTCGGTCCCGCTCCGGTGTTAGTTCCGGTCCGATCAGAGGCGGATCCAGGAATGAGAGGTGGGTTGGGCTAAGCAGTAAAATATTTTGTTAATGCACACAAAAGGTTTAGTTTAAGGTTGTTATCAAATTAAGCTTTTTTCAAACTACTCGAGTTTGAGCGTGATTTCAAATTTAATTTAACGGCCCAAACTTAACGAGCCCCGAACTCGAACGTGAGCTATATTTTTAGTTCGAATAATTATCCAAATCGAGTTCGAGCATAGTGATGTTTGTTTGACCTGGACTCGAGCCTATCGATAACTTATAAATTATAGAAATACATTATATGTATCTTAAAATTTAAACGTTTTTAGTGTGGTTTTATACGTTTCCTAATGATTATTAAAGATTCTAGTATTTACTAGTATGAATCAAAATACTTTTATAAAATTATAAAACTTATAAGTAAAAACAATTGTTGTACATAAAACTAATAAGTATTCCCGATTACAAAATTAAATTGAGATTTTTAATTCTTTCTTACATGTCCAAACAATAAAGGGAAAATGGAAACTAATAATCCAACCTTTTAGCAGTCTTCTTACAATAGTCCCACATTTTCGTTATTCAAGAATAATCCAACCTTTGCACCCCATCTTCATTCACTGGTCCCTGACCGGTTAATGACCTGCTATTTCAAGTTATTTTCTTATTTTTGCAAAATATTATCTTTGTGAAAGGTGAGATTTATGGTATAATGGTTTGCAAAGATAGGAAAATAACTTGAAAAAGCAGGACATCAACCGGTCAGGGACCAATGAATGAAGATGAGGTACAAAGGTTGGATTATTCATAAATAACGAAAAGGTGGGACTATTGTAAGAAGACCGCTAAAAGGTGGGATTATTAGTTTCCATTTTCCCAACAATAAATAAATCATTCTCTATTCTTTCATATTATCTTTAATCTTATAATGAATAAACACTATTTTATTATCTACCAAAAAAAATCAATTAATAATCAAATTGAATTACAAAACTAAAAAAAGTAATCCACGAAATAATAGATTAAAAGAGTATTCGTGAACGGCTGGTCAGCTAGACTAGGCTAGAAGATGTCAATTGGACTCTGAGAGAATAGATAGGCAGAGCCGCAACGAGCTATAGGCTAGAGTGTCGAACTCCTGAGGGACTGTGATGGCCGACGGCCGACGGCCGACGGCCGACGTACGGTCCTGGACGGCGCGCGGGTGGCGGCGCGACTGGGCACGGGGCACCTGTGTTCGTGACTTTGTCACTCTACTTAGTTGAGTCCTTCCTGCTTCCGCTTAGTACTGCTTCACAGTTCGCATGTAGGGATGCCATAGGTGGAATAAGGGAGTGTTAGCAAAAAAGGAAAAAAAACGTGTTTTTAAGATTTTGACTTAAAAAGCTGAAGGGTCTGTTTGCAACAGCTTCTGCTTTTAAAAAAGTGCTTTTTTTAATGAAATGAGGAGAAGTGATTAAATAAAAGTTGATAGTGTTTGAGAAAAAAGTGATTTTGAAAAGTAAAAGTTGGTAGTGTTTGGTAAAATAAGTACTTTTTGTGTAATAGAAAAAGTAAAAGCACTTTTGACGCGGAAGCCGAGAAAAATAAAAGTTGTAGTGTTTGGGAAAATAAGTGCTTTTTTAAAGCCAAAAGCTGAGAAGTGCTTTTTTCAAAGCAGTTGCAAACCAACCTGAAATGAGTGTTTTCAATCGACAAACTATACTTAAATTAAACAATTAAAAGCTAAAAGCTGGAAGCATGTGAATTGATGCTTTAAACTAATTTTCACTTTTTCTATGCACAAAGAGAACTTATTTTCTCCAACACTACCAACTTTTACTTTTTCAGAAACATTTTTAACACTATCAACTTTTACTATTAAACAATTTCTCCAAAATCACTTTAAAAAATCACTTTTTCATAGTAAAAGCAATCACAAAGACTCTTTAAGTCTGAAGCGTACGAGTATGTTAGTAACGTAGTAGGCTTGGGCTGAGCTAGACATTAGTTTAGGGGTGGGCTGAACATTAATTTTGGAGTGGGCAGAACATTATTTTTGGGTAATTTGGACATTAAACTTATACCTATACTAATAATAAAAATGGGCCAAAGGTGGGTTGTAGCCCACCCTAGCCCCTACATAGATCCGCCCATGGGTCCGGTTCAATGAACGACCCGGCGGTCTCTATCAAGTCCGGTCGACGGCCCAGCGGTCCATGTTCAGTCCGATCAATGACCCCGTGGTCCCTGTAGATCCGATCCAGTCAACGACCCGGCAGTACCTATCCGGTCTAGTCAATGGTCCGACTGTCGTGGTTTGATCTGATCAACGAACCGACCATGTTTGGTCAAGTCAATGACCCAGCGGTCTCCGTCTGGTCGACGACTCAGCCGTCCCTATTTGATCCGATCGACGACTCGATAGTCCTTGTTTGGTCCGATCGACGACCGAGCAGTCCTGTTCCGGTCCGGTCAATGACCCGACGCTCCACGTCCTGTCCGATCGATGACCCTGCGGTCTCTATCCGATCCGGACGATGACCAGGCGGTCCTGTGCTGGTCCCGTCAATGACCCGGCGGTTCGGTCTCCGGTTTTTTTAAATCATTTCTTAAAGTGAAGAGTTTCAAAAGAGGCATTGAGTTGCCACCCAATAGAGAAAATTTAATGGAAAAGAATAAGTCAGTCTAGCCATTGGGACAAACTAGGACAGGCCGATTTCGGTCACGACTTTCTTATGCCCGAGGCCGGGTACCTTACTTGGGTTGTACTAGGTTTTGTTCCAAGCTGAGACCGTACTTTCGGTCTTCCACACAGAATCGGGTGAAAAAAATATATGAACATGTTTTTAGATTTGAGAATGGAAAAACTGGAAAATAAAAACAGAAAATGGAGATAGAAAAATTGAAAAATGAAAATATAAAATTAAAGAATGGGAAATAAAAAATAAAATTGAAAATATCTCTGTTAGTAAACAGGTCATCAAGGTTTTCACTCAATGGCTTGTGGGAGAGTTCTCAATTAGAGTTTTACGGTTTATTTGGATGGAGTGTTGAGAGGTATTGCTCCGGGCAGAAGGCCACGACCAGAGGTGCTCCGGTTCTGATGGCCTTCGGGCAGAGGTGCTCCGGTTCTGATGACCGCGCATCGGAACTGCTCCAGTTCTGATGGCCTTCGGGCAGAGATGCTCCGGTTCTGATGGCCTTAGTAATGGAAATGTTGAAGGGTGTGGGTCTTAACACTTGTTTGGGAGAATTTTTATTAAGGAATTGAAGTGTGAGTATAAGTGTTTAAAAGTGTTAGAGAAACCCTCCCTAACACCTCGATAAGTGATTTTTTTAACATCTCAAATTGGAGTGTTTTGGAGTGTTTGGACAAATCTTTTCCCTTTCATACTGTAGTTCTACCTCCTTCATTGCCCATTCAAGTCTTCTTCGTCGAAGCAGCTGGGATTGTTGGGTTCATGATGTATCTCAAGAGGCTTACTTCATGGTCAAATACATCCACTATCACTGCACAATGCACAGGGAGTCAAATTATTTGCCAGAGCCTTGTATGTGAACCAGAATATCACCTGGATAGAGAAGAATTTGATCCGCTAATTTTCTTCTTCAATCAATTTACGTGGCATCTTCTTCTTCGACTCCTAAATAGCGGTTATTCAATTGGAAAGGAATTGGAGCTTTTGCTATTCTTCTTCCTTCAATTGGAGTAGTCGTTCACTCATTGG